TTAAGCATGTTGCGAGTACACATCGGATCGCTCAATACACAAGCAATCATTGAATGATCCGCCATGCCCTTGAACGCTTCGCCAAAGAACGTCGGGCCAGAGTCCGAGGTTTCACATATGCGGCGTCACTCTTTAGAGTCAGGCGGTTGGTAGGAGAGCGACCACGAGGGGAGGAACGATTGGAGACAGAATTCGTTGGAGTAGCAGCGCCTTGCGTTGTGTTCGCATTGCAGGACAGCGCTCTGCGCGCTATGACAGTACAGCGCTCTGCGCTAAACGTAGCATATGCCCGCATGCATTACAAGCAACAGGCAGCTGAAGGAGGGATGCGGCATGGACAACGGACAGCGCCATGCGGTATTCGCTGCGCGGCGTTCGCACACGCCGCGATGTGCAATCTAACAGCGCCATGCGCTATGCGACGGGGAGAGGTCGTGCGTCCACGGGGCGACTATAAGCAGGGCTGGGATCACACCTGCCTGTGCCTCATGTGTCCAGCCATGCCGGGCTTATATACCCGGCCGCCCATGCCTCATGGGACTGTTGGCGACAGTTTCCCAGATCGCAGCCCCCCAGGGACGGCGAGGTCTGGTGGTGATCTGCGTGGGACACCCCTAAGCTGGACATGTGACACCCCTCTGCTGGACCTCACAGGAGCCCACGAAAGTGGCGACGGTTTCGCAGGTCGCAGGCCACCAGCGGGCGGCGAGGTCTGATGGTGATCTGCGTGGGACACCCCTCCGCTGGACCTCCAAGGAGCCCACGAAAGTGGCGACAGTTTCGCAGGCCGCAGCCCCCCAGGGACCGCGAGATCTCGTGGTCATCCCCTTGGGACACCCCTCTGCTGAACCACCAAAGAGCCCACGAAGGTGGCGACAGCTTCGCAGATCGCAGCCCCCCAGCGGGCGGCGAGGTCTCGTAGTGATCTGCGTGGGACACCGCCCCGCTGGACCTCCCAGGAACCCACGAAAGTGGCAACAGCTTCGAAGATCGCAGCCCCACTGGGACGGCAAGGTCTCGTGGTGATCTGCGTGGGGACCCCCCCCCCTCCGCTGGACCTCCAAGGAGCCCACGAAAGTGGCGACAGCTTCGAACATCGCAGCCCCCCAGGGACGGCAAGGTCTCGTGGTGATCTGCGTGGGACCCCCCCCCTCCGCTGGATCTCCCAGGAGCCCACGAAAGTGGCGACGGTTTCGCAGGTCGCAGCCCCCCAGTGGGCGGCGAGGTCTGATGGTGATCTGCGTGGGACACCCCTCCGCTGGACCTCCCAGGAGCCCACGAAAGTGGCGACAGTTTCGCAGGTCGCAGCTCCCCAGGGACGGCGAGATATCGTGATGATCTGCGTGGGAAGCTCCCCTCCGCTGGACCTCCCAGGAGCCCACGAAAGTGGCGACGGTTTCGCAGGTCGCAGCCCCCCAGCGGGCGGCGAGGTCTCGTGATGATCTGCGTGGGACACCGCTCCGCTTGACCTCCCAGGAGCGCGACAGTTTCGCAGATCGCAGCCCCCCAGGGGGCGGCGAGGTCACGAGGCAGGAAGGAGGAAGAAAACGAGGAGGACAATGGAGGAAGGAGGAGGGGGAGGGGGAGGGGGAGGGGGAGGAGGAGGAGGAGGAGGAGGAGGAGGAGGAGGAGGAGGAGGAGGAGGTGGAGACCACAGTGCTCTATTCAAAACGTGTACCCAACACAGGAGGGTTAGGAAAAAATGGAGAACAAGTCCGCCAAGGTGGTATCATCACCACCCCCAGAACCGACGCCAAGATCAAGGAAGGTATCTCCGTGTTGAAGCCCAGCGTCAACACGGCCATGGCGACATGCATACCTCTGTAGCTGAAGCCTGGTGCCCGCACCGGCGCCCCAGAGGTGGCAGCCCCTCTTGGCCCTGGCAGTGGCGCGAGACCCGCAGGCGGCGCGGCCATCCCCGCCTTGGCGTGGGTGTCCCCTGCACCATTGAGACCGAGGCCCTCCCAAAGCGGAAGGCGTGAGCAAAAGCTGCAAATCGTTCACTGCGACTTATCCCCCCTGAATAAGAGCGGGCGCTACTTGTACCCAAAACAGTAACGACAAGTTGTCGTTCCGCTCCACGTCCACACCGCCCGCTCTTGTTTTGGCGGCGAGCGAGGGGGGAAATGAGAAGGAGAAGGCCTTCTCAGAAGGCGGCGGGACTTCTCAGAAGCCCTCGCGCCTTCTGAGAAGTATTTTGTCTTCAGGGAAGGCTTAGAAAACTTTTCAGAAGGCCGGGGGACTTCCGAACCTTCTGAGAAGGCCTTCTTCTTCTCACTTCCCCCCCTCGCTCGCCGCCGATTGTTGCACCCCCGTTCGCAAGTGAACTAAGCTCCCCAAGTAGCCTCGCAACAGACGCGGAGGAAAGGAGGACGAATCAGCAACAACAACTAAACGCTTGCAGTACGTCAGCAAAAACACATACCTATACGACCACCCTTCGGGTGATAAGCAGGTTGTGGGGGGGAGAGGGGGGGAATCCAACATCTGACTCAATCGATCTCACTATCGATCTCACTCAACGGGACACCACGGGACACCACGGGACACTTGTCGATCTCACTATCGATCTCACTATCGATCTCACTCAACGGGACACCACGGGACACCACGGGCCACCGCGGGACACCGCGGGACACCTCTCGATCTCACTATCGGTCTCACTATCGATCTCGCTATCGATCTCACTCAACGGGACATCATAGGACACCACGGGACACCACATCGATCTCAGTATCGATATCATTGTCGATCTCACTCAACGGGACATCACGGGACACCGCTAGGGCCACCGCCGGACGGACGGACGAAGGAGAAACATGTGCCTCGACTTCGCCCTAGCACCGGCGGGTTCATTCCTCTCGCGCACCCACGCAGCTTCGCCTCGCCCGCACGCACGACACGAACGAAACGAAACGATTTCCCGGTTGGGGGTCTCCGTTCCACTGCGATCTCACCCCCCAACCTCCGACGACATAATCGTAATCCGCACATATCAGACGGCTGCCGGAATAGCGTAAGCCTCTAAGAATAACTGAGCAGCCAACTGTCATTCAAAAATGATTCGCGCTCTCGCTTCTGATGGGCTTCCGAGGATTCAAGACACCCCCAGGATAGCGAAAGAGATGCCCAGAATGGCCCCAAGATGCCCCCCAAAAGCACCCAAGAGCGCCCCAAGAGCGCTCCAACAGGGCCTCCAGAGGCGATGTTTCGTGCTCCAAAGAGGGCGCGTCATTTCAGGACCGCCCTCTTTTTGATGCATGGTCTCCCAGATCGGCACCGGAGGGCCTCCAAGGCCTCGAAAAAGGTATAGGAGATTCTTGAGAGCTCCAAGACCTCCCAAACGGCCACAAAGAAGCCCCAAGAGGGCTGCCAAAGGCCTCGAACAAAACCTGCTACATCAACAGCTGAACGACTGCCGCAAACGGTGCTCCTCTTCTGGCGGTGCAGGCAAAAGGTAGCAGAGACCGAGCTGGAGGCAAGGTGAGGGCAAGGGACAGGCAACTGATACAAAGCAGTGGCTTCTCGGGGTGGATTAGGGGTGGGAATTGTAAAAGGAATGGCGAATCAGGGCCTCGAGGCGCCAGGACGACAGCGCATCTAGGGAAGTGGAGGGTGCCCTACGGCGGGGCCAACAAAAATAGCCGCCTTGCAGCACATCGAGAAACCGAGCCTTTCCCACCCCCAACCTCCCGGCGTCCACCCCGAGGGAGGGGTCCTCAAGGAATCCTGGAATCGGAACGCCGAGAGGCTATCAGGGAGCAGGGGTGGAGAGGGGTCATTGCCACTGGGCCTGCTGCAAGAAAGAGGCACGAACCCCTCAAGCAAAGCCTTGCTGGGGAGAACAAGGATACGGACTACGAAAACTGCACTCGCTTTGAATGGGCTCGGCAACGTCTGCGAGATAGCGACCAGGCTCGATTCAGAGGCGGGCCGAAGGGAGAGAGTTGGACGGGAAGAGTGGGTGGGGAGAGGACTGGGGCTGGGGGGGCAACGTCAGAGAGATGGGACTTCGCCTCGAATGCCCCAGGCGCGGCGCCGCGCTGCCCCCCCCCTATACAAATTCCTATTCGTATCTTTTTACAAGGCCGGGGACCCCAGAAAAGCGTCCCCCCCCCCTAACGAATTTGGCCACCCCGGGCCTCTCGGGCAACCCTCCAAACGACCTGGGAGAACCCCACGAGAGCCCGAAAACGGCTTCAAAGGGCTCCAGGCGTTCTGGCGCGCTCCCGAAACGACCCCAGCGAGCCCCACGACGGTCCACGACGACTTCAAAGATGCCGTCATACCGGTTCTCCTCTTTTCGGCTTTCCGACGCTCCAAGACAGCGACCTTCTGGGCGTCCGAAGCCGCCTGGGAGGCTCGAAAATCGCCCCACAACCATTCGACAGGGCTTCCAGGAAGTCCAAGAGAGCCCCAAGACGACACAACAAGGTTCCAAGATGGCCTGAGAGAGCCCCATATGACGGCCCAAGATGGAAGATGGCCCCAAGACACCATCCGAAGCATTCCAAGTCGTGACCCAGTCGTTCAGGGAGACCGCGGTTGGAGGCAGGGTGGCCGGAGGAAGCCCCAGAGGCCCCCAGAAGACGCCCAGGAGGCTTCCAGAAGGCTTTAAGAAAACCTGAACAACTTTTGTTAGGCCCCCAGAGGCTTTCCAAGGAGGAGCCTCCGCAACAAGAACTGAGGAAGATAGGGAGAAGACGCATAGAATGGCGAGCTCGGAGACAGACGAAACATAAGCATGGAGGAAAGAAAACGAATAACATTACTATAACGGCGATGCCGGTAAAGGCAACACGGAACTATCGCTAAATTATTGGCTTGACCTTCCTGCCAGTCCGCCTGCATACCAAACTTCAAGGACCAAGGAGCATGGCACGAAGCGCCAATGCAGTCTTGTATAGATGTGTAAATATAGAAAGATATATACACACATCTATCTATATATGTATATATATACACAAATTGCTGCTATGTGCGTACATGGGTTCCCGAGCCTTGCCCTGCATCTCCAGGCTCAGCTCCCCGTACGCGACGTAGAGCAGACAGACCCCGAGCAAGCCTATCAGTGCCAGCAAGGCCTCCCAGCAACTGCACCGCCTCTCCCTCTCACTCATGTCGCCGCGCCGTTTGTTCTCGACGCGTCCAACCACGTCGACACCACGGCAAACCCACGGCAAACCCACGGCAAGCCCTGCGCCCGAGGCGGCGTTTGCCCTGGCGGCCGCGGCGCCCTCCCGAAGACGGAAGGCCGCACGTCGCAACAAACGGCGCGACGACTTCTGAAGGATGACAGAGACAATGAGGAAGACGACGACGACGACAAGGAAGAAAGAAGTATCAAGCTACGGCAAAGACGTGGGCAGTGTGGAGGCAGAGGAGGCCGCTTCTAGGGCGTGGGGAGCCCGACCGCAAGAGACGTCTGACTTGCGCTTCCGCCGCATTCCGCCAGCCTTCCGCCCGCGAACCCGCCGCCATCTTATTTCCGCCCGCCTTCTGCCGGCTTCCACCGAAGGCGAGATGCGCCTAAAGCAGGGCCCTTGCTGGAACCCCCCATCTGTCCAACAGGGGGCACGGAGGTCCCTCAGCGTGAGCAATGTCGGGCGGCCAATTGTGCGGGTGTTCAGTGCCCGGGCCAGCGGGGCTCCAGGTGGAGCACCTCCTTGATTATGTGGCTAACCTGCTCGCCGAGGAGCTCCCGAAACTGCGTGCGCAGTTGCGCGCCTAGGTCTGCATGTGCGCGCGGGAACGAGCATGTTTGGTTGCACCAATAGTACTTAAGGACCACGTCCCCAAAATAGTCCGAACATCTAGAAAACTGGAGAAACTCTGGCGCAGTGTCGAAGGAATACCGCCTCCCGTGGCCCGACACGCGAAGACTTTCCCAAGGGGTGCCGCCCTTCAGGGCCCTCCAAGTTCGGTACCTCCCTGGTGGTCAAAATTATTTCTGGCAGGTGGCCAAAGCTAGAAAACGGACTTGTACATCATAACCTTCGGGGACGGCGGCGCTCGGAGGGGACAGGCGGGAACACGATGGCTGCCGGTCCCTCCGAACTGCCCCCACTGTGGCGGGGACCGACGCCGTGCCCCGAAGTGCTGGCCCCAAAGCCCAGGAGCGGGTGGAACTCGGCCACACTTTCCGCCAATGCCCGTTGGCGTCGCGCAGAGGGGGGTGCGGGGGAGGGGACGAAGGCTTCTTAGGAAGAGGCCGCCGCTTCTTAGAAGACGCGGGCCTCACATCTACAGACAAGGCCCGCGCCTTCTAATAAGTAGGGGTGTTTTTAAGAAAACTTCCCCCGTCCCCCCCCCCCTCTGCGCGTGGGCGGGCCTGAACGAACAGGCTCGATATATCCCACCAGCCCTCTGGGCGCAGGTTGTTGCGAACCTTAATTCATCCGAGGGAGCCCCTGTCTCCCCTTCGGGGACCCCAACCCACGGGATCTGGACAGGATGGCGCCCAAGGTGGCTCTAGATGGCACCGGCATTGCCCCAGAAAGCCTCAGATGGCCTCCAAGATGGCACAAGACGGCCCAAATTGTCCCAAGACGGCCGATTGCATGCTTCCAAGAGACCCGAAGAAGGCTGGAGATGGCTCTTAGTGTCTCCCGAACCTCCTGAGGATGCCCCAGTTAGGCAACGCAATACCGACCAACCAAAATAATTACCCCGACGGTACGACCCCACATGGGAATCGGTTTAGCTTCCCCTTAGCCCTCTCCTCCTCTCCCTGGCGGACACTCTCCTCTCGCCCTCTGCCCTGCCTTCTCCTCCTCCCTCTATGCATCCTCCTGCTATTCCTCCTCCTCCACCTCCTCATCTCCTCATCATCGCCCCCCCCGAACTCCTTCCCTCCTCGCCCTCCGCCTGTATCTTCTCCATGTGCGCCCCCCCGCCCCCCTGGTCGGCACAAGCAAATCGATGTTCCTCGGCGACATCGCCGCCTGGGCAATCGCGCGCGCGTTTGCCGACAGCTAGATCGCGAAGCCGCCGGGGCAACCCTTCGGGCCAGGCCGCTGGGGCAACCCCGCGAACCGCTGGGGCGCGAGAGCAAGCCGTTGGGACAACCCCGCTGGCGCCGAGCTAATCGCGGCCGCGCCCGGGCGGGAGGCAGCACGAAGCCCAGCTCTGCCGCGAGCTGCTCCGCCTCAGCCCTAGAGCCCACTGCCCTCATGTCGAATTCCTCGGGGGCCTTCCGCAGGGGCGCCGGCGGAAGTCTCGCGCGGGCGGCCGCAGGATCAGCATGTTCCGCATGCACGTGGCGCGGGAGAACATGACGTAGAGGTGCAGCCACCGCTGCTCGTCCGACATGCCCGCGCGACCAGCGTCCTCATCCCTGGCGCAGTCGATGGCGACGCCCTTGCGCAGCGTCTGACCCTGCGACAGCGTGGAGGTCAGATAGGGCGCGTGCGTCAAGGTGAACCCCGAGCGGCGCACAGCGTGCGGCCCCGAGCACTGCCACGTGTACTCCTGCTCGCTGGGCCTGAATATGAACAAGCTCCTCGCCCGCGCCTCGGCCGCGCCGTCGTCGCCAGCGCCCTCGGCGCCCTGCGGCAGCACCTCGGCGACCTCCACGTAGATCGGGGACTCCTTGAAGCCGTGGATCTGCATCCAGATTCCCTGCGGTAGGTAGCGGGGGCGAAAGAGCTGGCCCGGCGCGCACTCCTCGTAGTCTCGCTCGTCGTCTGCGTGGAACTCGAAGGGCGCGACGGTGGCCCGCTGCTCCTGCGCGAGCCCCAACTTCATCTTCAGCTCCTCCTGCGCGGCCGTGAACCGAACCTCCATGCCGACGCGTGCTGGTAGGGCGCCGTGGATGCCCCCCGTCTCGTGCATGGTCGGGGCGTTCAGGAGGCGGCGGCCTGCGTCTGGGTCGCCTTGAATCGCGCCGCACTCGTCTACGGCCTGCAGGAAAACGAAGGGCACGCCCAGACGCCGCGCGCCACGACGAGCACGCGCGTTGATCCACCTCGCGAGCGTCTCCCAATAGATGCCCATACCGAAGCCGAGCCGAAAGTTCTCGCGCTGGCGCCGAGGGCCCAGGACGCCGCGGTTGTCCGAGGCCAACGTCTCCCCCCAGGCAGACCAGACCTCTGGCGGGAAGCGCTTGCCCTCGCGCATGTAGCCCAGCAGCGCGATCAGAGGGCCCCCGGGCTCGAAGCGCTTCGCGCCCTTCAGCTCGAAGACGCGGGGGGTGCGAGAGAAGACGCTGGTGGCGCGCTGAATCTCCGCCGTCGGCGGCTCTGCGTGCATGTGGGATCCGTCGCCCTGGCGCTCGTTCAAGTCCGTCAGGGGCCCGATGCTGCCGGTGGGCTTCAGCTGTAGGAAATCGCCGAGGTGCAACGCGATGGGGGCGCGCCCGAAGTGGTGATGCGGCCTCTTGTAGGTGGGCTCCTGCGCGTCGCGTGCATCACTGCGCCCGTGGCAGGCGCGAACATCCAGCGCGTTGTGCAGAGCAGCCGCCACCATGACCAGAACGCGGAAGTGCTCCCACAACCGCTCTTCTGCATGCCCCCCGGCCTCATCTTCGCGTTGATGTACTTCTGGGCTCGCAGGGCGCAGGCGTCGCGCGGCGTTCTGACCTTCGCAGTCTCCGTGGACATGTGCTTCGCCTGCGCGCTCAAGAAGGCCGCGACCGCCATGGCGCCCCTGTCCTGCGCCGACGAGGGCCGCAAATGCCCCACCACGGGGAAAACGACCTTCTGCACCGCGTGCGTCTTCCCCGAGCCGCCCTGGCCCAGCAGGAGCAAGTGCGTTACTTTTCTCTCGCTCCAGGGCTTCTTTTGCACGTCGCCCCCCCAGGCGTCGTCGCAGGCCTTCGCGGACCTGGCGTCGAAGAGCGCCTGGCCCCGCGCGAGTCTCTCGTTCCCAGGCGACCCAGCGACCAGGGCGGCCGTGCACGCGCTGGGCGTTGAGTACACGCTGCGGACAAAACTGGCCGCAGCGGGGTCGCCGCCCAGGCCGCCGGCGCCCTCCTCCTCGCCGTCGCCAGCGCCCGCGTCATCCTCGTCGTGGTTGCCCCGGAGGCGGTCGTCATGCAGGTTTGCCCAGGCGTGTCTCTCCTCGCGCGCCGCGGTCGCCGGCGGTCGGTATCCGGCCGCGGGCACAAGAGCGGTCGCGGCCTCCGTCGGCTCGGGCGCGCCCGCGCCCTCGCGGGCCGCCTCGGACATGCGCGGGGGCGCGAGGAGCTCCATGGCCAACCTCGTGAGGCGCTTGCGGTGCGCGAAGTTCAGCACGTCCGCCGCGCCCTGCCCCCCGTCGACGCCCCGGGTCGGAACCGGCTGGAAGTGCGCTCGGACCGCCGAGGGGCGCGCGCCCGCGTGTTCCACGCCCCCGCCCGCCTCGGCGCCCTCGCCCTGACCGGCGCCTCCACCGGCGGTCGCCTGGAGGCGCGCGCTCTGCGCGGCCGCGTCGCTCTGGCACTGCCAGGGTTTCTTCTCCTCCCGTGCCAAGGCGACCCCCTCGAGGCTTGGCGCCGCCTGCGTGGCCATCATGGAGACGCGCTGGTGCAGCGTCGCCCCAGGTTTCTCTCTGTCGGGGCAGTGGGCGGGGCCCAGCGAGTCGCCCTCCCCGCCCTCGCCCTCCGCCCGCGCCCGGTGCAGCGCGAAGAATTCCTCCTGCACCTCCTGCGTCTCCCAGATCGAGGGCCACTCGTGCCGCGCGGGGAAATGGGCCGCGGCGACGCGGGCCTCCTCGCCCGCCCGGGCCTCGCAATGCGCCCAGGCTCGCGCGAAACAGGTGGGCCCGCGCACATTCGTGTCAAGGGGCGCGCCGGGGGCCTCCATCGCGGGCGCGAACGCCCGCAGCATGCGCTCGTCCTCCGGCGTCTCCGAGTTCCCCACCAACGGCCCCAGGGGGAACTGCTTGAACAGACAGGCAGTCTCGCAGTCTTTGTTCATCGTCGGCATGGTAAAGCCATCGAAGAGGGGCGCGCAGGGCTCGTGGGCCAGGCGCTGTTTGCGGGTTGCGTGCAGGGCGCAGTGCGGCGCAAAGTCGAAGTCCAGGTGCCGCGCGCGGGCCTTGTCTCTCCACCGGCCGTCGGGCTTCTCGCATCGGTAGACCCGCATTGCATGCGCCTGCAAACTCATGTGCTCGAGGACCAGGGTCGTCGCCGCGGTGCGGCCAGTCGTCCAGAGTGCTCGTGGCGCTCGCGACGCGGAAGCCGCCCCCCGTCTACGGGCCCCCCTCGCTCTCGCAGCCCATGCCCTGCATGAACTTCGCCAGAAACGACGCCACCCGGCGATGCTCGGGCGCGTCGCGCGCTGCCTGGGTCGCGACATCATGCTCGTAGGCCGTCAAAATGTCGGGGAAGCGCTGGCCTTCCAGACCCGCGTGCACCGCCTGCCTGTCGTTCTCCTTTTCCTCGCGCCACCCCTCGAGCGCGCGCGGGTAGACGCCGCGTCCGAGGTACTGCACCGGGGCGCGGCCCCCGTCCTGCTTAGCCTTGTGTCGGAGAGAGCGCCCGTGCTCGCGTCGCCACGCCTCCGCCGCCAGGAAGACGCCTTTCTTGATGGAGACCGCCCAGCAGCGGTGGGACGCGTAGGTGAGGTGGCCATAGAAGATCGGGAACAGCATCTCTGGCCCGCTCTTCCAGTAGCATCGGCGGTACGACGCGGACAGATTCTTCACGAGATCAAGAATCTCTCTGAATTTGGAATTGCCCCCGAGCGCTCTCCGGTCGGCGGCGGACAGACTCTTTTCGGGGTCCTCTCCGCGCCGCTGCAGCTCCAGCTTCAGCTTGTCCTGCTGCGCCTGTCGCTGCGCCTGCAGCCGCTCCAGGCCGCGCCGCATCTCCACGAGGACGCCCTCCATGCTGGGGCACTGCTTCGTCATGTAGGAGTTGATGTAGCAGCCCGTGTTCAGGCCGTCGCTGAACGCGGCCTGGGCGTCCAGTTCCAGCTGGTCCGCGGATGCAACCGCGGCGCCCGCGTCCTCCGCGTCCTCGCTCTCCGCGTCCTCCGTCAGGCACTGCAACAGAATCTCCCGCCACTCCTCCGGCGAACAGTCGTCCGTCCACGAGAGCGGCTCCCCCGAGACCTCCGGGCGGTTCACGCAAACGTCGGCATCGCCCAGCTCGCATGTGCCCATGTACCCCAGCTTGGGTTGCGAGCCGACGTGTGGGAGCACCTTGCCCTCGTCCAACCACGCCTTGGGGTCGCTGACTCGTCGGAGGTCCTGCGCGTCCAAGTTGAAGCGCCCCGCCGCGGCGCCGGCGTAGTTGGTAATGCACTCAGACGGGTGGAGTTGGAAATGCGACAGACGACCCCGCATGCCGTGCGTCGAGGACCGCACCACGAACATGGCGTTCCCCAGAGGCTTCCCTCGCCTGCGCCTGCGCCAATCTGCGAGCGTGACGATGTAGTAGAAACCGTGGCGGCAGATCTTCGTGGTTTTGTTGCCCGAGTACTTGTAGCAGCTCTCCCCGCACACGTGCGTCATCGTCTTTTTGGCGAGTTCCCGGATGTCCTTCGAGAAGAGGCGTTCCCAGACCTCAGGACTATCTTCCGTTCCTGGTGGGGGCGGCGGCGGCGGCGCATCCTCGCCCGCGGCGAGCGTCGCCTGGCCGACTCCTGGCTGCCGCGACTGAACCACGGGCACGTCCGAGCAGACCGTTGGGACAACCCGTATTCAAGCCGTAGGATCTGAGGAACCCAAAAAGCTTGCTCGGATGACCCGCCTCGGATTCAAACATGAAGTGCGGGTCGCATAAGGAGGGGACCCCCGCCTGAGACTTCCTCGCGATTCGCTCACAGACGAAGCTCCCGACTCACATTTCCTCCGAACTCAAGCCATAGGAGCCCAAAAGTGACGATTGTTACAAGGTGCCGATGACCCGCCTCGGATTCGAACATGAGGTGCGGGACCCATGGGGAGAAGCTCCCGCCTGAGACTTCCTCGCCAGCCACTCGCAGACGAGGACCCCGCTTGATAATTCCTCCAAATTCAAGCCTGAAGACCCCCCAAAAGTGGCGACAATTACAAGTTGCCGATGACCCGCTCGGATTACCAACATGAAGTGCGGGCCCCATAGGGAGGAGCTCCCGCCTGAGACTTCCGCGCAAATCACTCACAGACGAGGTTCCCGCCTGAGACTTCCTCTACACTCGAGCCAGAGGAGCCCAAAAGTGACGACAATTACAAGTTTCCGATGATCCGCTCCCGCTCGGATTACCAACATGAAATGCGGGCCCGATAGGGAAAGGGCTCCCGCCTGAGACTTCCTCGCAATTCATTCACAAACGAGGCTCCCGCCTGAGACTTCCTCCCTATTCAAGCCTGAGGAGCCCCAAAATGACGACAATTATAGGTTTCCGATGACCCGCTCGGATTACCAACATGAAATGCGGGCCCCATAGGGAAAGGGCTCCCGCCTGAGACTTCCTCGCAATTCATTCACAAACGAAGTTCCCGCCTGAGACTTCCTCCATATTCAAGCCTGAGGAGCCCAAGAGTGACGACAATTATAAGTTTCCGATGACCCGCTCGGATTACCAACATGACGTGCGAACCCCATAAGGATGGGGGCTCACGCCTGGGACTTCCTCGCAATTCACTCACAAACGAGGCTGCCGCCTGAGACTTCCTCCATACTCAAGCCAGAGGTGCCCAAAAGTGACGACAATTAGAAGTTTCCGATGACCCGCTCGGATTACCAACATGAAGCGCGGGCCCCATAGGGAGGGGGCTCCCGCCGGAGACTCCCTCGCAATTCACTACAGACGAAGCTCCCGCCTGCGACCTCCTCCATACTCAAACCTGAAGAGCCCAAAAGTGACGACAAGTACAGGTCGTCGGTGACCCGCTCGTATTACCAACATGAAGTGCGGGCCCCATAGAGAGAGGGGGCTCCCGCCTGGGACTTCTTTGCAATTCACTCACAGACGGGGCTCCCGCCTGAGACCTCCTTTATACTCGAGCCAGAGGATATCGAAACTGACGACACTTACAAGTTCTGGATGACCCGGTCGGATTACCAACATGAAGTGCGGGCCCCATAGACAGAGGGGGTTCCCGCCTGAGACCCCCTCGCAGGTCACTCACAGACGAGGCTCCCGCATGAGACATCTTCCATCGCCAAGATGGGAAGCGAGTGGTGACGAAGTGATGCGTGAATGATGATGATGATGATGATGATGGTGATGAGGATGATGATGAGTGAATGAGTGGTGATTACGAACAGGGATTCAGTGTGTGAGTGTGATGATGATGGAGATCATGAAAGCGTGTGAGTGTGTGGTTGGTGAAGATGGCGATAATGAGTGAAGGAGTGAGTGGGAATGAGTGATTCGGAGGAAGAGATGGGGGTGTGGGTGAGAACTGCGCGGGGTGTCCAAAGAAAACAAGGACCCCACCTAGGATGTGGGGGAACATGTGCTAAGGAACGACAGTTCGTAAATAGTGGATAAGATTTGCCTTTTTCGCCTTTTCAAACTCAAACGGGTCTCTGACGTATCCAGGTGACCCAGAAATGCCCCACGTGGGCGCCAAAAGCTCCGACGTACCCCAAATCTTTGCTGGCAGGGTCGCCGACCAAGCGTGCGTGCAGCGAGGGATAGTTGCCCAGTGAACAAACATTCTATAAGAAACACAAAGAAGCCAAGTCAGGAGAGCACACACTCAGCATGCCAGTATAACATTGACAGGCTGACCGTATGGTCGCGACGAGAGGCAGTGGCGTGATGGCGGTTAAGAGAAGGGACTGGTCAGCATGCCTGGGTGCTCTGTATGCATGCCAAGCATGAAGATTATGCGGCAACTTATGAAGCAAGCATGACGGTGCCCATACCATGTGACTTCCCCGCCCACGATCAAATAGTTCTTGAGCCCACGGATATCGTCATTGACGCCAGACACGTCGCGACGTAAGCTGTTGATAAACTTCGTTGCGTCGTCCTCGCTATCACTATCTGGTAGCGCACGATAGCCACCTCCCCCTTCGGTTGGCTGACGCTGCTTGGCAGAACCTTCTGTGTACAAATGTTACCTTCACACCGAACCCTCTCGAATGGTGGGGCGTTTGGTATAAACCCTCGTAAGCATCATCTGATCCTCTATGAGATCCCAAGGCTAGCATTGTGAAGCCATTGCCCTGGGAGCCCACATGCATTCAAAGCATGGTAACCGACGGTATATTCCAAACCCATCCCGTCTAGACCAGTCAAAGGTGAGCGATGCGTAGTAGCACTGGCATCCTTGCAGAGAACACATTTGGTCAATTCCTGTGTTGTGACCTCCTGTTCCTGCGCCTCCTCGAGCTTATCATCATATTCTTCATATTCTTCTCCAGGTCATCAACGCTTCTGGAACACACGCTGCAATATCAGAGAGGCCTCAATAGTTGCCTTGTTGATGGGAGGGGCTGAGCAGGAAGAAGATGGAAACGAAGACTCAGAGTAAGGAGAACGAGAAATACTGACACGAGGTCAGCTGTGGAGTAGACCCCCAAAAGAATCTACGTACCCACGCCCCCTGTGTGGAGGCCTCCAAATGGGGCCAGAGTACGTGAGGCCAGAGGATCGCGCTGCATCGCCGATGCATCGGCAATGCCGGGACGGGGAAAGGCATACATTCCCGCCACATCGCCGATGCCTCGACGATGCGGGTCGATCCTCAAGCCCTATCTACTCTGTCCCAAACGGGCGGCCTGGGCAATTGGCGCGACATCTGGCCCAACCTTGTTTTTGTTCCGACGCGATCGGCACAAGTGGCTGCACAACGTGGGACTGAGAGCCGCCGGGCAATCCTGAAGCGTCGCACGAGATGTGAGTCACAGTGCACTCGCCAATGGAGGCAGGATGACAACCAGGAAAACAGCAAACAGGGCAGCAGCGGAGAAAAGGCGAGGAGGCGGGGCGAGGAACGTTTCTTTCGCGACCGTTGGTGGCCATTTTGCTACGCATGCTCTGGATGGCCATACAGATTCGAAAACCATTCCTATTGGGCCCAGAGTTTGAAAAAGAACCCTTGCTGTGTACCTGCGTCTCTTCTCGTTTCTCCTTCTCTTTCGCCTTACCCCGCTTGCGCCCCCTCTTCGCCCCTGGTCCTTGCGTTGCTCCTCCATGTTTGCGAAGCCAGTCTCCTGCGTCTGCTCTGGTTTTGCCAGGCGTGCAAGTGTGCAAGTCCCCACCTCATTGGGTGGTCCATCGGAACGCTGCCTTACACGGTCCAAAACAAATGCCGCCCCTCCTGAATGTTGCTGCCGTGCGTGCATCTGGCACCAGTGACGCCTTTTCCCACCCAAAGTGAAACCTCGCATTTCCTGGTCTCTGAAAGACGTGCAAGAAGTCACCACATTCTTGCACCCTTTAAGAGGGCAGTTGGAGCGATGCCTTTTCGCGGAGCCAATGTGGCCTCGCCGTGCCTGGGCGCCGCCAGACGCACAGTGTCGCAGCTCACCTGCGCCCGTGGGAGTCCAGCGGGGTGGGAGTTACACAGACATGGATATTATCCCAGAGCGACCCTACCTAGTTGGAGACCCCAAGGAGAGCAATAGTAGTAGTAACAGTAAACGCCGACCTCCTCCTTCTCCTCATCGTCGCAGTTGTAGCAATAGCGGTCGTAGTAGTAGTAGTAGTAGTAGTAGTAGTAGTAGTAGTAGTAGTAGTAGTAGTAGTCGTAGTCGTAGTCGTAGTCGTAGTCGTAGTCGTAGTCGTAGTCGTAGTCGTAGTCGTAGTCGTAGTCGTAGTCGTAGTCGTAGTAGTAGTAGTAGTAGTAGTAGTAGTAGTAGTAGTAGTAGTAGTAGTAGTAGTAGTAGTAGTAGTAGTAGTAGTAGTAGTAGTAGTAGTAGTAGTAGTAGTAGTAGTAGTAGTAGTAGTAGTAGTAGTAGTAGTAGTAGTAGTAGTAGTAGTAGTAGTAGTAGTAGTAGTAGTAGTAGTAATACTTATATTACAATTTAATACCTACATCTACATCTAGACCTACATCCACATCTACACCTACAGCTACATCTACATGTACACATGCATCTACATCTACATCTACATATACACCTACATCTACATCTACACTCACATCTGCATCTACATCTACATCTACACCTACATGTATAGCTACATCTACATCTACACCTACATCCAAATATACACCTACACATACATCTTAGCATAGCCTAGCTCATGCTGCATAGCATAGCATAGCCAATGCTGCGCTGCGCTAAGCTAAGCTAAGCTAGGCTGGGCTAAGCTAAGCTAAGCTAGGCTAAGCTAGGCTAGGCCAGGCTAAGCTAAGCTAAACTAAGCTAAGTTAAACTAGGCTAAGCTAAGATGGGATAAGCAAAGCTAAGCTAAGGGGGCGCATCTGGGGGAACCGCGGGGCGGATGCCGGGGGAACCGCCCGGGGCGTTTAGCACTGCCCGGCCCCTTTAAGCCAAGAGGGTAAGAACCCTTCTAGGCAGAGCCTAGGTAGGGAACAGCTTTGTTTCGCAACAACTTGGGGAAAACTAAACTTCAAAGCTACTTTTCGCCCCTTCAATGCCGAAACAAGCCGACACGCAGTCTGGGCAGGTGCAACTCGGAAGCTCCACGATGGCCGACCTTGGAGACAGGGCACCAACACGTACTTCGCGCGGAAGTACTTGTGAGGCTGACTTTGACGAGGGTAGTAGATGAACACATATCAGCGAAAACACAATTTAAACCAGTCATACGAGTGAAATGATATGGACTGGTGTGGACCGAGCTATGCTGAATTGGAGTAGACTGAACTGGACTGGGCGGGCTGGACTGGCTTGGACTGGACTGGACGAGCTTGGTGCGCTTTACTCTACTCGATCCACTCTCATCTACTCTACGCCACCCTACCCTACTCCTCTCCACTCCACTCCATTCGTCTGCACTATACCCGTCTCTACTCGCCCATCTACCCTACCCTACTCTAGTCGACTCTACTCTGTTCTACTCGGACCTACTCTACAACACCCTATTCAACCCTACCCTACCCGGATCTAGTCGAGCTCAGTCTACTTTACTCCGATTCGACTCTAGTATGCTATGTTACCCAGCTCTTCTCGACTATCTGCCCTAATGTACCCGATGCTGCTCGACTCTACCCTATTATGCCCTACCCTACCCTGCCCTGCCCAAGCCTTCTCTTCTCTACTATACTCTACGATACCATACTCTGGTTTCTCTTTCTTCCGCAGTACGACCCCAGCGAAAGTTGCCCCAACGGTACATGAATAGCTGAAACGAATACGCGAGCAACGTCTCCACGAAACGGTTGCTCGCAGAAACAATTTGTCGTTCGCACGAAGCACATAAAGTAAATCAAGGCATACCCAACTAAAAGAGGAAGCGACAAGAGCCACGAAATAATGAGACGACAAAGCGGACCAACAGGAACCATGCAACACCAAGAGAAGAAGTCCAATAACGAAGTCAAGGAGCTCGAGATGCACAAGCCCGACCTCTCAACAGCAGGTTATCCCGTCGCAACCTTGCTCTCTTTCCGTCTCGGCTCTCTCTCGGAGGGCTTCTGGCGAACCAGGCCTGCCCCCATGGCTGTTGGCCACAAGGAGCCAGCGGGCGGCGCCTCTTTGGGAACGGGCGCGGAGGTGACCTGTTTCGATCCGCTGTAGTCTAGATCAAAAGCTGGACGCCAACGCGAGCCGCTTGCCTGCCGAGTCTAAGACTCCGACGACTCACTGAGATGGGACTGCAACCACCAGAGCAAACTGCAACGCCTTATGCCGTGCCTCTGTGACCTGGCACGAGTCGCACAAGACCACATCTAACGAGGCCAGCGCTTCAGCGGGAGCAACATTTCGACAAAACCAAGCGAAAACCCAGCTCCTGGGATCCCTCTGCAAAAAACCATGCGCGAAGGGGGCTGGATATCTTCCGGGCGTCATCAGAGGGGAGAGGAGAGCAGTATCAGATTGTGTAATTGTGGAGGGGAGGGGGGAAGCGAGTGAGGAGAAGGAGAAGGAGGGAGGAAGGGGCGAGGGGGAGGGCAGAGGAGGAGGGCGAGGGGGAGGAATGGCGAGGAGGAGGAGGAGGATCGAAGGACGGGGGCCTGGAGGAACGGTCAGGCTGGCGAGTGCAACGGGAATCCCCGACCCGCCCCCTAGCCACTCGGGGCTTTGTCGACGGAGTTGCCCCTCGGCGGCTTGGACGGCTGGGCCGCCGCGGGGGCTGGCCCCGACGCCGGGTACTGTGTCGGGGCGACCGGGTCCAGGTTGATGGTCCCGTCGAGCGATTGTTCCCTCCCACCGTCAACATTCACAACCATTATAATGAACGTCACGAGATGCTTTCCTCGAAACGACTCTCACGCTTGCGCATTTTTGCGCAAGAGTGCGCAAACGTGAGCCTGCAAAAAGGATGAGGGGTGAGATTGAAGAAGCAAGCGCGTCCGACGACGACAACGAGTGCACGATGACGACGACTCCAACCCTCCCGCCCACAACATTCACCAAAAGACCGTGCGCGATCTGGACAACTGGTTACGGTCGGGAACTTTTGCTTTACGTGGCCGCCGCGACCCGCTATGCCGTGCAAGCTGGTAGCACTTCGCTCCGCTCCCCGGGGCAGGAGGCTGGGAAAAGCTCGGACCGCTGAAAGCTCGGGACCAGGCCATGTTTAACGTGTCGCGCTGAAGCGTGGTGGGCCAGAACCAGCGGAGTGACACGCTACGCGCAAGTTCCTGACCGTAAACGAGGCCATGGGTGGGCATCGGCTCGCACACAGGATCGCGTTGCACGCTGTGGTGAGTCAGAGACAGATCTGCCATCCCGCTATCCTGCAAGCCAGCAGCTACCCTCCAACTTTAGTCTGGACCACCCTTGCGAGGAGTGCAACCCTTGCGTTTTACCGGCAATGCGTACCGAAGGGGCGAACGTGGAGAACCCACGATGGAGACGATGAGCATGGTAACCACGGGGGTGACGAGGACGACCAAGATGGCGCCAAGGCGGCACAATATTGTAGGCTCAGAAACTTAGGGGCGCATCTTCGAGCCAGCTGTGTCCAACCTCCCTGAAATTGCAAGCCGCATCACAGAAGCACGTACCCATTCGTGAGTAGACTCTCTGCGGAATCCCAAAAACATAATGCGGGTCACGCAAGGTTCTGCTCGAAAGCTTGCAGGAAGAGCGGAAAGTAGCACGCCCGCACAGAGCAGCTGCCGATGACTCCCGTCCGAATCGCGCTGTGCCATCATGGATACGGTCGAAGTCTTGCCACCAGAAGCCTTTAACAAGAAACGAAAGCCCTTTGGGGGCCTCCAGCTGCACCTTGATTTCCGAGGAGCGCCCAAGGAGAAACCCAGAACAGGACCCAATGAACCCCGAGCCCCTTACGAAGCCAAAGCGGCCCCGATGCGCCTCGCCAACCCCAGACATCCGGCAGCTCGACCCCTCCCCCCCGGGGCCGGCTCCCCACCCCGAGCAGTTCTGCCGGCGCCTCCATGGGCCCGAGGCGGGCCCAAAGCAGAAATCCCCCAGCCTGAAGGGAGATCGCTGTACCGGCCTGCGAGCCGCGGACTCGGACCCAGGCCGGAGCGGAAAGAAGTGAAGACGAGGAGCGCGTGCGGGCTCCTGGTCGCTCTCGCGGAGCCAGAGCGGTGGAAGCACCGCTGGACCACAACGCGCTGCAAAGAGGGGACGGCGAACGAAAGCGGAGAAGGGGGAGAGGAGGGGGAAGGGCGTGCTGACGCCGAGGGGCCTGGCCTCCAGCCGACCACTCTGGACTCTGGACAGACAGTGCGGCTTCGCGGTGCAGAGGAGGAGAAGGAGGACGACGACGACGACGGGCCAAGAGCCAACGGTAGAGAACGGGCCCAGACGCCCGATGATATGCCCCGATTTGCCTCAATATGCGGGGAGGGGGGCCAAAAAGCATAGCTTTTTGTCCCGAGGTGTTCTCTGACGGCCCCGCAGCCGGGGAGAGGGCCCCCGAGGACCGAAAAGGCACATGGCAGACCTACACCCTGGCGAGCCGACGCGCACATGGAGGGTAGAGCGCGAGGGCCGCGGCCGTCCAACAAGGCGGGGGGGGCTCCAACCAAGGCCCCAATGGTTGCGCCCGCATGCCGCCGCCACCCCATTTTGGCGCACCCCTGACACGTGTCGTGACCCCACAGAGGGCTCCACCTAAGGCCCAAATGGTTGCGCCCGCATGCCGCCGTCATCTCACCTGGACGAACCCCTCACACGTGTCGTGACCCCACAGGGGGCTCCACCTAAGGACCCAACGGTTGCATCCGCATGCACCCACCACTCCACTTTGACGCACCCCTCACACGTGTCGTGACCCCACAGGGAGGTCCACCTAAGGCCCCAGTGGTTGCGTCCGCATGCCGCCGCCACCCCACCTTAGCGCACCTCTCACACGTTTCGTGGCCCCACAAGGGGGCTCCGCCTAGGGCCCCAGTGGTTGCGCCCGCATGCCGCCGCTATCCCACCTTGGCGCACCCCTCACACGTGTCTTGGCCCCACAAGGGGGGCTCCGCCTAGGGCCCCAGTGGTTGCGCCCGCATGGCGCCGCCATCCCACTTTGACGCACCCCACACACGTGTCGTGACCCCACGAGGGGGGGGCACATAAGGCCCCAATGGTTGCGCCCGCATGCCGCCGCCATCCCACTTTGACGCACCCCTCACACGTGTCGTGACCCCACAAGGGGGCTCCACCTGAGGCCCAAATGGTTGCGCCCGCATGCCGCCGTCACCCCACTTTGGCGCACCCCTTACACGTGTCGTGACCCCACAAGGTGGCCACCCTAAGGCTCCAGCAGTTGCGCCCGCATGCACTCGCCACCCCACTTTGACGCACCCCTCACACGTGTCGTACCCACATATGGGTCTCCACCTAAGGCTCAAGTGGTTGTGCCCGCATGCCTCCACCACCCCACTTTGGCACACCCCTCACACTCCCACAGGGGGCTCCGCCTGAGGCCACAGTGGTTGCGCCCGCATGCCGCCGCCACACCACCTTGACGCACCCCTTCACAGGTGTCGTGACCCCACGGGGGGGCTGCACCTAAAGCCGAAATGGTTGCGCCCGCATGCCGCCGCCATCCCACTCCGAAGCACCCCTCTCACGTGTCGTGACCCCACAGGGAGGTCCACCTAAGGACCCAACGGTTGCACCCGCATGCACCCGCCACTCCACTTTGACGCACCCCTCACACGTGTCGTGACCCCACAGGGAGGTCCACCTAAGGCCCCAATGGTTGCGTCCGCATGCCGCCGCCACCCCACTTTGGCGCACCCCTCACACGTGTCGTGACCTGGGCGTCACTGAATTAGGGCCCCGTGGCTGCACCCGCATGCCGCCGCCACCCCACTTTGGCGCACCCCTTTACACGTGTCGTGGCCCCACGTCACCTAGGGCCCCAGTGGTTGCGCCTGCATGCCGCCGCCATCCCAATTTTGGCGCACCCCTCACACGTGTCGTGACCCCACAGGGGGCTCCACCTAAGGCCCAAATGGTTGCGCCCGCATGCCGCCGCTGTCCTACTTTGACGCACCCCCCACACGTGTCGTGACCCCACAGGGGGGCTCAACCGACAGCCCCAACGGTTGCGCCCGCTGCCGCCGCCATCCCACTTTGACGAACCCCTCTCACGTGTCGTGACCCCAAATGAGGCTCCACCTAACGCCCTGGTGATTGCGCCCACATGCCGCCGCCACCCCACTTTGGCGCAACCCTCACAGGTGTCGTGACCCCGCAAGGGAGGTCCACCTAAGGCCCCAATGGTTGCGCCCACATGCCGCCGCCACCCCTCTCTGGCGCACCCCACACACGTGCCGTGACCCCACATGGGGCTCCACCTAACGCCCCAATAGTTGCGCCCGCATGCCGCCGCCATCCCACTTTGACGCACCCCTCACACGGGACCCCAAAAGGGGGCTCCATTGGCGCACCCCTCACACGTGCCGTAACCTCACAGGGGGCTCCACCTAAGGCCCCAGTTGTTGCGCCTGCATGCATGCCGCCGCCATCCCACTTTGACAAACCCCTCACACGCGACGTGACCCCACAGGGGGCTCCACCTAGGGCCCCAGTGGTTGCGCCCGCATGCCGCCGCCACCCCACTTTGACGCACCCCTCACACCACAGGGGGCTCCACCTAAGGCGCCAATGATTGCGCCCGCCTGCCGCTGCCATCCTACTTTGGCGCACCCCTCGCACGTGCCGTGACCCCGCAGTGGGCTCCACCTAAGGCCCCAGGGGTTGCGCCCGTATGAGGTTCTGAGAAAGTGAGGGTCCCATCTCGAGAAGGCCTGCGAGGCTTCTGATCACGCGTTGCTTACTTGGTGGGGGGGCGACCAATCTGGGGGGAGGAAAATTCGCCCTGCGTGCCCCTTTGGGGCCCCTTGAGGGCACGCACGGTGCACCTTTCTTCACCTCCCCATTTACCGCTCCCCCCATTACGCAACGACCGATCTGAGAGGGCTTCGAAGAAGCCGCGGATAGCTTCCAAGAGGCCCCTCGCATCCGACGGGGTGATTTGGTTCATGGGCAGCCCCAAGGAGATCCCGACCTATTCCCCAGGGGTAGACTTTCGTCCCAGATCAGCTCTTGATGGCCCTGGGGCCCGACAATGGGCCCAAGAGGCCGAAATCGAGAACCCAGGGTCTGCGAAGAGGCCGCACTAGCAAGCTAGCCGCACGCGCTAAAGCAGACTCAGACCCCACGTGGCCAATCCTCGTCGTTTGGGTTTCGGGGTATACCTCGGGATTCCGGCGGACCCGGAACCTGCGGAACGATCTCGGCGAGTCCCAGGTGCTGGAACGCATCCCGAGGCTGCAAAACTTGCGAATACCTGCGAAAACCTACGCAAACATCCGAAAGCCTCGAACGTCGAAACCTAAGAGCCCGTTTCATCCCTCCTCTTGTCCGAGCCGCCGCCGTCGACGTCGCCGTCGTCGTTAATCGTTCTTCCTTTCCTTTCCTTTCCTCCTCCTCCTCCTCTTCCTCCTCTTCCTCCTCCTCTTCCTCCTCCTCCTCCTCCTCCTCCTCCTCCTACTCCCGTCCACGACATCGTCCGCAGCCATGTTGGCTCAAGATGCTTGGTTCCCCTGGGGCCGAAGTGGTCACCCCTGCTCCGAGTCCAGTCTTCAACCATTTTCACCTGCTGCTCTTTGCCATTGGCATCCTGGGAGTTGCAACCCAGGCTCGTGGTGCCCAACAGTGCGAGGCATGGCACCAAAGGGCCGTGCAGAGATGGCAGGGGAGTGGTGATGGAAGTGGTGTTCGGA